GATTTAGGTGATCTTCTGGTCTATCTCACACTAACCGATAAGCTTAGGCAATTGAAATTTAGGGGCCTCCCTAATTTCTCAGTTTCTTCAATGTTCAAACTAAACTAATTGGTTAGTTTGAACATAGTACATAGCGAAAGCCTTTGATCATGATTGGCACAAAGCACTTCTTTTCAAGTTAACGGGCACCAGGCCAATACCAGCTTCCTCCATTTGACCACACCCAAGGTAAAGCTAGTTGCTCGAATCATCGACGAACAGATTTCGGCTTTCCAACCGCCTCGACTATTTGGCCTTGCGTTGCTGATGTTCCGTCTTTTTGCATATTTATTGCATTTATTACGGGGAGTGTTCTGAGAAATTCACAGTGTTTCACAACGGTACTACGTGTTAAATCTCCAGTTATTATAGATTTGGTTACTAGCGATAGGTATTTGACACTAGTTCCATAATACTTACGTCAAAGTTCAATCTCCAGTAACCTAATCTATTCATAGATTGAATATTGAAACCATCCGTAAGCAAATTATTCAAAGATTAAAATTTTTTGTACGAAAGCAATTGACAGTTTCTGAGTTTATAAAATACCTATTGAAGTACCTACTAAACTCGAGTCCCAAGTCTCGTGATATTTTTCTCAACTTGTTCTATAGCTTGCGAACAATCCTAACATTTCTATCTTCTTACATGCTCTCTGATATTGCCAAGGCTATACAAATATAACACTATGGCGTTTATTTAGCGATGATACTAAAGCTTAGATCCTGGCAGAGGCTTAAGTTTACCTCCATAGACGAGCCTCAACTCAAGGTCACAAAAGACCGGCGTAAAGTAAAAGTATTATACTTTCACGGTGCCTTTAAGCAGTGACAAGCATGTAATAAACATGGGCCCGGTTACCTAACTGGGACCCATGTTTATTACATGCCAAATTGGAATCGTGCAGGTGTTGTAGATGTATACGGACTGGGCATTAGGTGAACTGACAGCTCGTTCCCAAATAAAAATATATCTTTAAAATTGATATCATATATTCAAAAAAATGTATGTTATTGGAATAATATTTAAATTATATTTAATATATAAAATTATATTTCTCTCCTTCATATATCATCCCTTACTTACCTAAAAAAAGAGATAGTTTTGTTTTCTGAGTTTCTGAAAATTTTACTGTTTAATTTGTAACTTATTTTGATTCTCGACATACGATTGGACAATGGGCCAACTTTATTAGTTTCAGCAAGGTCATTATCTCTGATGGTTTGTATAAGTTATCAGTATACTGATAAAGGCATTACACAGTATGGAGGTCTAAGCCATGGCCTATTTGCGTGCGTGGCGTTACGTTATGATTACTTACTAAGGCTTATATGCTTTTATAAGGGTTTTATGCTTTTCTTTTCTTTTAAGGTTCTGATTACTGTTTGATTGTGTTCTGACTAAATTCTCGTAATTGGCAATCAGATGTCATATTCAGCCAATACTGCGAAGTTTGTGAAGTCTGTAACTAATAAATAATTTTTTTATTGATCCTTTGGATGACGGCATAGATTAAGCGAACTGAACAAAATGAATCATCAGCTTACCTACTAAAAGAATTTAGACCACTTAAGTAGGTCATGTGCATACCTAGGCGCCATGATTGTTTAGTTAGAGTATCGTTAGGTTACTGATTATCACCACCTCTTTTACGAAGGTCAAAACCTTTGAAATGTGTGTTCTGTTTTAAGTGAATATGAACTTCATTAGGATCATGTCTAAGAAAAAATGTTCAAAGCTAGACAAGAAGTTTTATTCAATGTATTATAAAGGATTATCATCTGTTTTTAGTACTGCCCCCTCCAGTCCAGTTATATTTATTAAATCAAAAAACAATGAATACACACTCAAAAATTTTAAACGTCATTGTAAATTACTTTATCATAAAGCTTGCTCGTCTTCGAGTTAATTGCACCCTTTTCACCAAACACAAGGTTTTACGAAACTCTAAAATGGTCGAGGCAGGTATTGCAGGTAGGATTGAATTCACGTTTTAAAATTACTTTGGTTCTATGATTTGTGTGGAAAGGGTTGGGTAACAGCTAATTAGCCCCAACGTCCGCTGCCAAATATTGTAGTCTAAAAAGTATCCTGTGATTATTTATATACATGTCAAGTATGTAATCAAAGAAAGTATCATGGTGGCATTTAGGACAAAAGTCTACTTTGGTGCTTTGTAGTATTAATAAAATGATATTGAAACAAAGTGTAGATAAATAGTCAAAATTTTTCATTCGCTGCTGCTAGGATTCCAAAATTAAAAATTATTGATAGGTCTTTTAATATGTAATATGAAATTTTGTTGCAAGCCGTCTGGTGAAATAAGAGAATCAGGAAGTGGCGATATAAAGCGTAAGAGGGAAATTAAATAATTTTAAAAATTTTGGGAATGTTTTATTTATTGAAATTATTTTAACATATTTGCTCTGATGATTGTAGATAGTTGAGCTGGTCGAGATACGTGATCTGCTACACGTGAGAAATTTAGTCATATTGGGGTGGCCGTAACTGTAGAGGATCATTTTTTTACAAGACTTCTAGTTAACGTAATTTTACGTTTAATACTATGATTTCATATCAGCGCAGTGTTGCGTCTTGCTGTTTACATTAGAGACCACGAATAATCGCCTTTTATATTTTATAATATTCAGTATTCAAGCGCATGTTTTGTAAGTTTCGTTTATTTCTTATTCTCTATTTCCTTTCTTCCGCAGTGGATAAGAATGATTATTGGTTCTAGTTGACTCATCAAACTTGAACTGTGTTTCAGGAACAAATATTTTTGAGAACCAACAAGACGGAAAATTCTTATCTTGCCGTCTTGCTTGCTACAAATTTATTACAAAGTTTTTATTTATAGGTTATTATTTCGAATTTCTTTTTTATAGATCCTATAACATTACCTTCTATGTTATACTTGCACATTACTTTATAATATTGTCACAGAAACGTATAAATCTCAGTGTAATCGTGTTAGAATAATATTCTCATAAACAAGAATTTATGCCAAGCGCAACAACAGCGAGGGTTCAATACCAGGTCAAATCTTGTTTTGTACTTCGACCTAGACTATAAAATTATACCTAAGTATATACATATTTAGATTGAATGCAATCCGCGTTATCAAGACAGGCGGTTGACGCTTTTGACCCAAGTGTTTTACAGAATATAAAGAGATTTTTATTTATTATTACGACTAGTCTATTGGTAATTGCCTAGTGTTTGGCCATTCCTGACTCCTGAGAGCATACTTTATTGTTTTAAAATTATTTTCACACTAAGCTGCAGTTCAATGTTGACAGAATTAGTTTTATTCAAAAGCGAGTTAAACTCTTGTAACATCAATGATTATTGCAACATTAAAATTATTATAGCAAATATAATTATTTCTTAACTTAAAACCCACTGGTCCCGCATTCAATATAAAAAACGTAAGTAGATTAGTGGTGATAGAAGAACATTAGTGGTAATTTTAGAAAAATTACATAAGCAGCACACATTTCTTCCTATTTCATCATTAATTATTATGAAAGCGATTACCGAATCGTAATAACATTCAAATTGTCTGTTTTTGCGGCTGTCAGAAATCTAAAACTGTAAATGCTATAAAATTACTTGTATTCCCATTACTTGATTAGGTGCTATATTCCTTCCATGAAAAGTTGCGTCTACTTGTAAAAAAATATTTTTTATTGGTTTAATGTATTTTTATGCATAATGAAAAGAATTCTACCATTCTGTAAGCCTCTATTATAAATAAATAATCTATAAATGTGGAAAATTTCATGCTCCACCCGCCTGATTTTCGTAAAAAAAGGTACAAAGTTTTTGCTGCACGTATTAATATACCTACGAATTCTTCTTTCTCTTTAGCCCTTATCGGCACATCGTGTTATTTACGACCACCCGCGAGTCTGACTTCAACAGTCCCTGGTAATAAACACCCAGATCCGGAGCAATTTTGTGTTGGTCAAAAAAACTAATTGTCTCGTCTTATGGGAATCGAACCCACGACTCCCGGAAGCCGATAGCTAAGCAATTGCGCTTCTCATGTATAATATGTAATACTAAATAACGTAGCAGAATTGACAAATAGATGAGTAAGATTCATGTTAATGTGGGCGGCGATTCCCTAGCCATTGATTCGACCGCAATGAGTACAATTGTACTCGCTCAAGTGGTATGAAGTGCACTAAACTTTCATTACTTTTGTCCGCGCTGCGCCTACAGACATCCTTCCCGCCGAATTGTATGAGTTTTTAATGAATTTGATATCCGGGCTGAATGTAATAATACACTTATTCTTTTCTTAACGATTTATAACAACATAATAGCATAGAGTGGCTTGGATTGGGTACTCGTTGTATTAAGAAACAAAGTGCTTAGAATTTATGAATTAACTAGCGACCCGCCCCAGCTTCGCATGGGTGCAATGTAGATATTGAATTTCTCGACTCTCTACTATATTATGTATGTATACTAAATATAAACCTTCCGCTTGAATCACTCTATCTAATGCTAAAAACTTTTATTTATTGAATTAAAATCCGTCGCGTTATTTGAAAGATCTGAGCGTACAAACATCGGGTGCGACTTTCTTTTATATTTTATAAAGATATTTGAGCACAAAGGTGTTTTATCGATAACGTGTTAGATAGTAAGTATTGTAGGTCTGTAAAAATACAATGTTCATGTTTGTTTATGTTAAATCAATTGATCTAAAGTAACCATTAAATTATGAAGGCATTAATTCTATATTCGAAGACTCAAGTAAAGTGTCCAAACAATTCCAAATAGTCGATGTGGCGTTGCCATAAAAAGTCTTTTGTAAATAATGTAATGCTAAGAAGAGCTACAAAAGTCAGATATGAATATATCAGACTATATGTAGATATATACGTCTTATCTATGATATCAGATATGATATAGATATGTTACATACTTTTTTATATCTTTTACAGGTCTTTGAGGTCGTTTATGAAGAAAGGGAAAAAAGAAAAATCGGACGGAAAATCAAGTATCCAACAAAATGGCGACAATAGTCCGATTGTGTACAGGCGGGCGTTGCAATGTAAATATTATTTTTCTCTCCTATTAAAATACTCTAATTAAAAAAAACGTCAATTACTTTTTTCTGTTCGATACATGTCAATTGATATGTATCGAACAGTAATAATATAGAAAGTATATACTTACATGTACATTAATCTTGAATTTGCTCTACATTTTAATCAGATCTTTAAGCAGAGCATTTGAATGAATGGCCGAACCATTCATTCAAATGCTCTGCTCATCCCAGGAAAAAACTACGATCTCATAGAGGAGAGAAAATTATAGAAAATAAACAGGAATATCCGTTGGTAGCTTAAGCGATATTCGCGATTTTTATTATATGTGTCATATTAAGTCTATACACCTACCTACATATTGAAAGTCTGTTAAGAAAAGAATGCCCTTTCTTTTCTAAAATGCCGCGGCAAAGTTTACATGCAACACCCTCTTGTGTTATGATTTTCCACCTCAAATATATCACACATATAACGAGAACTCACAGAAAAATAACATTTAAAAAGAATTGGTTAATGAATGACTTCTAAAAATAAAACCGGCCAAGTGCAAGTTGATGACTCCGTGGCGCATTTGCCAAGGTATCGGCTTCGGGGGTCGTGGGTTCGATTCCTACACGGGACAACTATTTGCGCGACCCACAGATAGTTGTACCGGATTTGAATGTTAGTCCGCGTGAAATTTATGTTTGTAAAAACGTCCTTACAACACAGGATAATGTTATCCCAAAGTAAGGGCAATGTTTTCAAAAAAAAAAAAAAAAGAAAAAAATGCAAGTAAACATGCGGCATAAAAACCTGTCTGCTGTATGGTAGCCCCACTTAAATATTTTTTTCTGTTTTTTAGTATTTTTTGTTATAGCAGCAATATCAATACATCATTTGTGAAAATTTTAACTGTCTAGCTATTACGGTTCATGAGATACAACCTGGTGACAGACAGAACAGTCAGACCGAGAGAGAGCGGAGTCTTAGTAATAGGGTCCCGTTTTACCCTTTGGGTACGGAATCCTAAAAATCGATGTCTGTATGTGATGTCTGTAAACAATACGGATGGACTAATTTTGACGAAATTTTCAGGCAAATTTTGAGCCGTGATAGCTCAGTGTCCGGGCGCTCGGCTTTAATTCTCGAGAATATACTCGGGCAACCTGAGTTCGATCCCCGGTGCCGGCACCAATGAAGTTTTAACTTTAAGTGCTGACTTATCACGTGCTCCGCGGTGAAGGAAAACATCGTGAGGAAACCTGCATATTTTCGAAATAATAACAAAAAAAATCGAAGATATGTGAAGTCCGCCAATCCGCAGTGGGGCCGCATGGTGGACTATGCCCTGATACCCTCTGTATAGAGAAGGCCTTTGCCCAGCAGTGGGACATGTATAGGCTGTTACTTTACTTTTTTTCAGGAAATCTTCAGATTAGCCTCACGGGTGTTTATTAGGTGAAGTTTAGTATCAATCTGATCTACTAAAAATTTGTCTTTTTTTGGACATTTGGTGCCAACCAGATTTGCACTAAGGTCCAATAGGCCCGGCCAATCGTAACAAAAAATTCAGTGATGGTAACAAGATATATAATGGGCTCTGACAAAGGGGCGGCTGGAATTTAGTTCATGGGCTGGGGCCTAGGGCGGCCAAGACTACAAATCCGCCACTGGTGCCAACCCTACGAAGCATGTCACACACGTGGCAAATCATTGATATGAATCAAACTAATAGAAATATCTCAATGATTTTCTGTTTGCTAAACTATATTCTGTTCTTCATTAGACTCGACAGCGTCGACGGGCGCACGCAGCACCGTGAGCTCGCCGGAGCGTGCGGACCGCTACGTTTACGGCGGCTCGGTCACGCCACTGCCGCGCTCGCGCTTCCAAGAGCGCCTGCGCAGCCCTAGTCAGCACGAAGTCAATTCAATCAAGTATAATAATTAACTAAATTTTATTTTATTGCATGGGAGGACGGAATACGAATATGAATACAAGACGGCTTTTTTTTTAATCTTTATTTTTAGAAACGGGTTTTGTCACACAGTGACTATGACACCCCCATTTAATAATCCCAACAGTATAAACTTAACCTACTAGTACTTAAGAGTAATAACAAAAATTGTTCATGTCCCGGCCTGCTTTGATGTTTGAATATTACTTAAGGGGCATGCGCATCTTGCAGTCCGAAGACTTAAATTTCGAATTGAAATTGTGTAAAGTTAAAAAACTTAGGTACTTCATGTATGTCACGTCGAAACTTGGGTGAAATCCGTAGGGCGTTGTGAAATAAGTTACTTTTGTGGTTTAATCAACAAAAACTATGTAAATACATTGGAATAGGTTAGTTACAACCCCAGCCTTTTACAATCACAACACAAATCATTTTTTGAAATAAGGAACAATATAATTATGTGATGTAGGTATGTTTTTGGACAAAATTTTAAGTTGTGCCCTAGATGAAATACCGCTTTATTTTTATTCGTAAAAAAAAATAAGTAGTAGGTACCTACCTAGTTCTTTCACGTACTTAGTAGGTAAATGGCATAAATTGATTCCCACGCTTTTGCAGTTTTGAAAGCAAATCAATTCAGGAATAATACGTCTATAAAATACTAAATATTTGACTAAATAAACATTTTTTTGGTCTTCAGCACAACGCCACGGATGGCGCGCAGTGATATAACCGGTTCACGTCTCAGCGTCGAGAGTACGAACCCGTTTGATGAGGGGCCGGTCCCTCCGGTCCGAGCCTCGAGACGCAAGAAAAAGCGCGCGCCGCTTCCTCCACAAACCATCGAGGTTTCAGCAGAGCCAACGGTGTGTAAGAATTGTGTTAGCTTCCCTTCCTTCATATTAAAGTTAACCTTATTTGGGTGTTAGGTTAGCCGAAGAAACTAAATTTTTGTAAAACTAAATTATCATGACTTAAACAACAAATTAACAGGAGACATGTACAAATACGATCGGCGTCTAGAATCTAGAGAACTCAAAGTACTAAAGGTATCATCATTTGTCAATATTTAAAACTGTTTGTTTTATTTGCAGATGAAAGAACAAACAGAGTTACGAATAGCGGAAACAGACGAACAAAAGGTAGAAGATAAAAAAGTGGATGAAGAAATCGAAGAAGTAAATTTGAACATTGAGCTCAAAATCGTAGAAGACGAAGATGTGAAGACTGAGAAAGTGGAGACCAGTCTCGTAATAAATCCAGATATCTCCACCAAAGAAATAATAACAAGTCCTACAGATGCTGTCATTCGAAAAGAAAACGAAGTTGACGTGTCAGGGGAACAGCACGTTGAAATCAAAGGTAATGAAACAACCGCTGTAAAAAATTCAGATTCGGAAGACGATATTTTAAAGAAGGTATCGTTTCCTAAAATAGATATTAATAAGTACAGAAGAAATTCTAGTGTTAATGACGACGACATTAGGTTACGACGAGGTAACTTGGAAGATTTCCATTCTCTCTCCAACAAAAGGAGCAAAAGTTTAACTAATGCTATTGATGGTTCGTACGTTTGTTACGACGAAAATTTGAACGAAGATAAAACAAAAGTCGATGTGAACAGTAACGAGGAACCTCAGAAAGTCGTCTGCAAACTTTACGATGATCCAAGAAAGAAGAGCGTTGATCATTCCCTCTCGAGTACAGAAAATGACTTTATAGAAATTGATAGAGCGACAAGGGAATTAGAAAGGGAAATAAGTAAGCTGAATTCGGCATTGATCGAAGAAGATATTACTTTGCAAGGGCGGCAGTCAGTTTCGGACATTAGGCGTAAATTTGATAAACCTGATGTTTCGTCACCAAATCCAATACCAAAACCACGAAGAAGTCACTACGGAGACACTCAACCGCCTGTTAATGGAACCGGTGTGAATCTACAGCAATCATAAGAGCATACGCCATTGAATATAATATTTGTGTCACTAATTTTTACATTGAGTAAAATAAATGTATAATTTTATTATTTCATTTAATTGGATCTCAGGCATAATATTTATTACTAGTAAACTATTTGGGAGTATGCAATATTATTTTATTATTGTCGTCGGCTTTATGAAACGCCATTTGCTGCAGATCAATAATGTTATTTATCATTAATAGATAATTGCAGAATCTAAGCGATTTCTTGAAGTTACCTTAATATGTGATAAAGTTTAAATTGTTTCTACTAAGCTTTGCTATTTTAAATACTTTTTTGATAGCATGAATAAAGCAAGAACAACGAACATTTTGTTATAATTTAATTATGGATACTTTTTGATTAAATTAAAAAATATTTATATGCATGTGATTTTTTGTCCAAATGATTAACGTTGATAGTTTTTTTAAGAACCGTAAAAAGTTTGATAAAGTATAAATATATTTTTTGTAATGTAAGCACCATCGTGCATATAATGTACAAGATTCCTAATAATTTATAAGTTATAATCACACGGGATTGCTATATTTTGTTATTGATATGCCTGTTGTTTAATAAATATTTATTCTTCTAATAAACCTTTTCTTAAACTCATGCCCCAATTCTCTTCACAGATAAATAAAACAATGAGGTATTTGTACAAATTTAATAAAATCTCAGAAAAATAAAATGTAAATAAAAAATATTACCGTAGAAGTTGGGTCAAATAATCAATTCTTACGCTACCTATTATCTAAATCTTCATTTAAAAAATAAGCTTCGTCTCTGACTATCTTGGAGTTTTCAGAAAATAACAGATTTGAATTTTCTTCAATAATGACTGGGGAATATGCTCTTGTTTCTTCTCATAACTTACTGATTCGACCTTTCTTATACTTGATGAAACGTGGTAAGTTTGAAATGACAGTGGAGACAAGAACCTTATATTCCCGTGGTAGTTTTCTCTGAAGTCGTGCCTGATATAAAAAAAAATTACGATCGCAAACAACTGAATTTGTAAACAGAATAACAATCAGTAGTATTCTCTTACCTTATTTTTTAATATCGGTGATAAGATCGCCAACTTTTCAGGCAGTTTAACTTTAGCGGCTAAAGCGTCAGTTTCGTCTTCCGAATACAAGTCCACTAAGGTATCTATGGCTTCAGCTAACACCCATACCTCATTCTCTTTATGTGCTTGCTCCAGTATAAATTCTGTAATAGCGACGATTACCGATGAACTGGTTTCATTAAGTTTGTTCACGAGAAGTAATGCCAAAATCCCAATCATGCGAATGAGGTTCGACCTTATCTCCGGCACATCACACACCTTAATGCCCGTTATCATCATCTGGAAAAAAAAATAAAGCTTAATACTGTATTTTTTTATATTCGGCGTATAAAATTGATACCAGATGCCTTCCACCACTAACAGTGCCCTAATGACTTGGCTCCTAGTTTTCAAATTGTGTCATAACATAGAACATACTGGCCGACGTCTGTGACTGGAGAGACTTCAAACTCAACTGTGGGCAGTTTATTGTTCCGAAAGCAGTTGCAAAGAAGTTAAGCATTGAGATTTGTGAGTTGTGAGAATATTTAATAGCGGGAGTGCGGCGGTACTTCACATCGGGACAAATTCTGATATTATACAACGCGCAAGTCTGTAGATGAAGTACTGAAATCATATTCAAGTAAGTGCCATCTAGACTACATAGACTATTAGGCTTTAGATTCAATTGTAGCGGTGCAGAAAGTAAACATGCGCGAATGAGCATATTTCATCGTGGGCCAATTAAAAGTACTAATCAAACTTGTCTTGAGCACAGGAGATGCCCTTCGGAGTGTGTTTTGGAATCAATCGGACAAGGAAAGGATCGGCGTTTCGTTTGTCGTTTTATTGTCCATGTCTACGATCATCATTGCATCGCCATTTACCACGGAATGGAATAGCGATCAAACACTAAGTAACAATTTGTAAATGTTTACGGTGGTAGGGCCCAGCCTCGGCTGTTGCACGAACGGGCAAGCTCGTCCGGGTAAGTACCACGACCTCATAGAAGACCGGCGTAAAGTGGAAGTATAATACTATCGCGTTTCGTCTGCAACCCTCGGGTGTAGCAGATGTCCATAGGCAGCGGTATTCATTTAACATCAGGTAAACCGTCTGCTCGCTTGACAACTTTTGACATAAAAAATAATAATAACAAAAAATGTCCCACTTCTGGGCAAAGGCCTCACAAAGGGTATCTGGGCATAGCCCATTCATTACGCGACCTCACTGCGGATTGGAATATCTTCGAAACATTTTTTTAATATTATTTCGAAAATATGCAGGTTTCCTCACGATGTTTTCCTTCACCGCGGAACACGTCAGCATAAAATTAACAATTTCATTGGTGAAGGCACCGGGGATCGAACCCAGGTGCCCGAGTACATTGAATTAAAGACGAGTGTCCGGACATTGAGCTATCTGGGCTCTCAAAAACTAACCAGTTTCTTAGATGCATAAAAAAGACATATTCAAGAAGGTTTTGCCATTACTTAAGTTTCTATAGCTATATGAGTGGTACATGCCTTTTAAGAAGTGCCTTGCACAATTTACATGTATATACGTCGAGAACTGGTATAAGAGTTAACTTAAGCTGAAGAAGCTTTGTGGTAGGAGCGACGAGAAAGTTTACATATACAAATAAGTACAATTTTTTTTTATTTATACTATTTACACAGGATAAAAAATATTTCCGAAGATATGTGAAGTCCGCTAATCCGCAGTGGGGCCGCGTGGTGGACTATGCCCTGATACCCTCTGTACAGTGGAGACCTATGCCCAGCAGTGGGACATGTATAGGCTGTTACTTTACTTTTAGATATTCTAATGCACATCCGTTAAACTAAAACTAGTAGACTTAACATGTGTATTTATTACCTCAATATCTGGTAAAGATAAGTCACGAAAGAGATCACAATCACCAGCTTTGCCATTTTCTCTGAATTTAATTTTATCTAGTGCTGCTCTCATAACAGCTGTTGCAGACTCCAAAATGTACAGATTTTCAGTCTTGTCCTTAAAAACTAGTTTTCCAATGTCCACCCATATTTTGTAAATACCATTTACATCACCCAAGTTCTCCAAGGGTAGGCTAGATATCATATTGTTTATACATAACAATGCTCTTGTTTGCAGTGTGAGGAGCCTAGAAATATAAAAATAGTAAAAATATAAACATTGTATCTTGAAATGAAAAATATTAAAAATGTTTGAGTAAGCAGAAGAACCATAAATAGAAGAAACAAACAAAATTTACCAAATATTATGTACAAATATTTTATATAATGAATGTTGTTGCATCTACAGGGAGGCTTTTATAAGTGTATCCATGTTTTTTATTAAATTCTAGACATAAATAATATTATATTAAAAAATAATAAATATTTAAAATCACTGGTAATTAATTAATTACATTCATTTTAACTTATCTCAAAAAGTGCGTGATTTATGTAGTAATGTTAATGAGTAGCTCCATTTATTTTACGCGCGATCATTCATAATTAACACGCAAACAAGTTTGTTTCAAAAGTATACGACGCTTTTATGAATGACTACCACATTGTCAACAAGTTCTGTTTTTTTACGGAATTTAATGGCAATTTTTTATGAAAAAAAAGTTTGTTTTTATTTCGATAAACAATTATACTACCGAGTCTGAACCTCCTGTGTGAGTTTGGGCACCTTTAGGAAAGCTACCCTGTATAATAAAATTATAGTCTTAAGCAATAACTAAACTAGTTATATTAATATAAATAGCTATTAAAAATCTTAAAATCTTTTTTGTTGTTTATTTAATTAATAATGTTGTGTGGAGATAAATCAAGAAATAATCATATAATAATTGTTATTGTAAACTATAAAAGGGAAATGTAATCAATAAATGACTTACTTTTTATGAATTAACTTTGAACCTTCATATTCCTTTAATATTAACATAACATTTTGTGCTGGCAACTGAGTGCAACCCCAAACTTTTTCGAAAATATTCAGAGAAATTAAAGCTTCGAGAATTTCAGGTGGCAGCTTGTCTTCTGCAAGAACTACACCATCACCATTGCTATTGTCATCTTCATCTTCTTGTTCATCACTATCAGATGATTCAGGTAAATCCATTTGATCATTGAGATCTATAATGTAAAGTATTAAATTGTGTTTGATAATTATATAGTTTGTATTGTGTGTTGATTTCTTGATTGTACATGAATATTGTACATATTAAATGAAACTATTTTACGGACTTTATATTTGTATGCTGTGATTAAAATTACATACCTTCACATGAGCAAATGTTTGCAATAATTTCTATAGAGCTTTGTTGTGCATCCAACATCTGTGACACTGTCTTTAATTGATTTTCTAGTATTTGGGCTTCCTTTCCCCTCGGTGCTTCAAACTTCCCATTTCCATCATTTAATGGCACATTACTAGAGAGCTGATTGCACACTAACCTATGATCTAAAGATAGTGTCTCTGCTAAAATAGTAACAATTTGATTGATAATGCTTACTGGTAACATCCCCATGTTACCGCCACATGTGTTTATAATCACACCAGCTGCCAATGTCTTTATCAACAAGAATGATGGGTCACTATTTTCGATTGCCATAAGTTCTTGCAATTGTTTTTCACAAGTTAATTTAACTTTCTCCATAACATCAGGATTATCTTCAACAACCACAAACAAACACTGTAACACAGCAGATACTATATCACAGCCAAATGTAGGCAAATTGAGATATCTTGGTAATAATATACTCAAAACTTTTGATTGCCCCAAATATTTTACAGCCAATTCTGAAATTGAAATAAAAATTTATTCAGTTATTTTAAAAATATTGACTGGAATATTTTAAATAACATAGCAATCTAAATTATTGTACCTGAACTTTCACATAAGTTCATTAAAAGATTTATACATTGAATAAATGTATCTACATCTTCGTTTTTTGATTTTGAATTTGTGTCAGGAATCCAATTTTCAGCATTCTGTAAAATGTGATCAAACACACCAAAATTATACTCTTGGACAAGGCTTGTTGCACATAATATTTTTCTTATGCTGAAATGTCTGCTCAGCTACTCATCCATGAACCACAGAGGATGGCATTAAAGTTAGAGTGAGGGTACCTGATGTAGCAGTTGCAGATGGAAAATTTACCTGAGCCCCAAAATATGCTAGGCAATCTGGGCAATTGCCAGAGGCAAAGGGTATCTGAGCACAGCCTCCCAAAAGGGGAATATATAATAATTTCTTCATTTACCACTAGTAATACCATTAAGAGTATGGAGAATGCCATCACAGCACAGGCAATATTCTAGTATGTCACTCATTTTTAAGGCAAAGCCTCAAAGGATTTTTTCAGCATCCAAAAAACTAGTTTCAACAGCAATCAACACCCTCTGTTGATTGCTGTTGAAACTTACGATGAAGGGTTTAAAGTAAATTTATCCCAATCCCCTCATTTAAAGTAAATTTGCGGAGACCCCCCTTTCGAGATTTTTAATTTTGAGGAAATTTTCCTTATTTTATAAATTAACATTCATAATAAGTGTAAAAATAAAGGGAAGACCTTGGAGGGGAAGCGGTTCCACCCTTATCGGACGGATGAGGTGTAAGCAAAAGTTCTAATCGGATTAATATAACAGGTCACCATTCAAAACATTTAAATATGGCAATACAATATTTTTTTCTCAAAAACTAAGCGTTTCCTCGTTTTAAACTTTGCATGTGTGCTTATAATAATGTTACCTTTCGGTAAAAAATATATATACCCCTGATAGAGATCTGTAGACATCAATGGAAAACTGAGCCTTAGTTTTTCATGTTTCACACCATAAATTCTGGATAAGAATTGAATTTAAGCAAATAATTTCCACATTACCTCATGAAAGTAACATATTAATGGGGTCATTACATCTTGTTCCATTAAAGCATCACAAATTTCGAGTTGAACTGCAGACATATTGCGAAGACTTCCCGCGGCAGCATTTCTGACCGACCCAGCAGTATCCAATAAAAGCGGTGCTACGACTTTAACCAGACCATTTTCAATTGCCTGTGCTATATTTTCTGGGCTTTCTATAAATAAAGCAAATGTTTGCAAGCCACAATATTTTTCTTCTACATTTGATCCCTGTAAATATTATTAATAAATTTTTCATAAAGTACTATGAACAATACCGTTAATATGAATATAGTTACGAATAAAAACTGAAACTTACTTGAAGTTGATCCAAAATAGTTTGAATAACATTTTCCTTAGAATCAACGGGTAGTTCCTCATCTGATATATCTTGTACAATATTGCTATGACTTTTATTTACCTTACGTTTTTTTACTTTCCCCATAGTCACAGTCAAATATATTACAAATTATAAAGAATAATATAACCTCAAATCAATGTGCCCACAAGGCAATGACGTTTGAAATGAATGAAATGACAAATACAGATTATGCAGAATCAGCAGAATATATATTATTGCATATCAGAAGGACATTGACAGTGACAACTTCAAACTACAACCCCAAACAGTGTCAAAGATCCATCTTGACAGCTTGGAATGTGATTTTATTTTTAAATAAAATAAAATAAAATACAAAAAATATAGTTTTATTGCTTTTAATGTTCTGCACTGCAAAGTTAACGTCAAAATTGTTAGAACATTCGCGATGTTTTATTAAATTACCATTTGACCTGATGGATGAAGTAAGGAGAAATATCGTTGTGTATAAAATGTGTCCGTCAAAAGGCGGTAATTGGTGGTACGGAACGGTAAAAGTAGGATTCAGGCAGTGGTCGTGAATGATGGAGAATAGAGGTAAAGGTAAAGGAGAACCGTCTCTGTGTACTAAAAAGAGTATCTGTCAAACCGTGTTCCCTAAGGTTGGCCCTGCGGTAGCGTAGGATAAATTTTAAAGAGAGAAAGAAATTGACAAATTACCTCTTGGTTTTGGCGCACTTTAAACAAAATAAATGGTTGGATCATACTCATATAATATTGTGGGGTATTTATTTGTTTTCTCGTCTGGTTGGGTTTGGGGATAAATAATAAACACATAAATATATATTGCATCTATAAAATAAATATTATGAATAAAAATAAATATACAGATATAAATATTATATATAATACATAAATAAATAGGACCCAACCAGACGGAAGCCCTCGGCAGGGGAGACCAAACGGCCGAGGGTTAGGGTGAGAGGGAGAGAAACCGGCGGACGATGCGGGCGGTATCGAGGAGCACCGCCTTCTGCATTTGAGCTTGGAGCGTTCCGTCCCGGAGTCCCAGTCGCCTCAGATGTTCGGAGAGGCTGACTGGGATTAACCCATTCGCAGACACTAGTATTGGGATAATTTCGGTCGGCACACCACCCCACATGTCGGTCACCTCGTGAGCCAGGTCCAGATACTTCGTCTTCTTATCTGTTTCGGCTTTCACGAGGTTCTCGTCATATGGAATGGTAATGTCGACCAAAAATACCCGCGACTGTGCCCGGCCCATCACCACGATGTCAGGTTTGTTCGCGACAATCGTCCTGTCCGTGATGATGGGCCGGTCCCAATCGAGCCTTGCGCGGTCATTTTCGAGCACGGCCTCCGGAGACGGTAGTTTCCGTTCCACGAGTCCGTATTTCAGAGCGAGCTCCCGATGTATAATTCTGGCTACTAGGTTGTGTCTATGCAGATACTCAGAGTTAGAAAGCATGGAACAACCGGGGATAACATGCCGTAGCGACTCCCCGGGATGGCGACAAGCTCGACAGATGTTGACGGTGCCATCCCTTAGGATGTATCTCCGATAGTTGTTCGTCTTAATAACCTGATCCTGTATCGCACAGACAAAACCTTCGGTTTCCCCAAAGAGGTCACCGAAACGTAGCCAGTTAAGGGAGGCAACGGTATCTACGAAAGGCTCGTGTAGAGCCTTGTAGAACCTCCCGTGGAGCTCTTTCTCCTTCCATACGGTCTCTCGGTCGGAAACGCTCAGTACTCCCGGGTCCTGCCATTGCTCGTTGGCTAAGGATAGAGGGGTAAGTCCTTTATCACAACTAATGACTTCCGTGTAGATTGATTCATCCGATCTGGCCAGAAAGTAGTAAAGTAGCCTCCGTACTGCACACCTCGCGATTGTGCATGGTGAGGGCGCTTAAAAAGCCCCTCCCGCCATGCTTCCGCGGCAGGTACAGCCTCATCACTGACGATCTCGGATGATGCATTCTGTGGGACGTCATAGTTGTGCGGACTTTTCGATCCAGGGCGTTGAGCTCAGTTTGAGTCCACCTGAGTATGCCAAAGGTATACATGAGGACTGGCATGACCCTGCCCTTAAATGCGCGTGCCTTGTTCACGCCTGACAAATGGCTGTTAAATACCTTTGTCAGGCGTGCAAAAAACACGTCACGAACTGACTGTTTCATGCCAGCCTCATCGATACACATGTTTTGTGACATACCCAGGTATCGGTATGTTTCAGCCTCAGAGAGGGTCCTTATGTTAACGGGCATAGATAGGTCTATGCCCTCCGTATTAGCGACCTTACCCCTTTTGACATGGAGGACCGCGCACTTATCCGTCCCAAGCTCCATTTTGATAGAATTGCTGAAATCACAAGTGACTTAAGCAATTCCATCAAATGGGAGCGATTGGAGGCGAATAATTTGAGGTCATCCATGTAGAAAAGGTGGGTCACTTTTGTCCCTCCTCTCCGAAGCTGAAATCCTCCCCCCGAGCCCTCCAGTAACACGCTGAGAGGATTCAGGGAGAGGCAAAACCATATTGGACTCAAACAGTCGCCCTGGAATATACCCCGTCGTATCCTTATCCGGTATTCCGCAGCCGTCATCCGCTCGCCTAGATGACAAAGGATCGTACTCCATTGCCCCATACAGTGCCCGAAGAAGTCTCTTACCGTACAGTCTACTTTGTACAGTTCGAGGACCCTCTTTAGCCATGTATGGGGCACCGAGTCGAACGCCTTTCTGTAGTCTATCCAGGCGGCGGAGAAGTTCCGACGGTTGCGTATAACCATTTTGCCAATGACCGCGTCGATGAGAAGTGGTTCCTTGGTTCCACGACCACCGCCCCGACATCCATTCTAAGCACGAGACATAATCCGATTCATATTAATATGCCGGGTGATTCTCATGCTCAGAATAAATGTCAGTGTCTTATAGATTGTAGGTAGACACGTTATGGGGCGGTACTTACTCGGGTCTGTGGTAAACTGATCTTTAGGAACCAAATGAGTGACCCCAGTAGTAAAGAGGCTCGATCAGATCGAGAGCCTCTTGGAACTGTCGGGCGAGCACAGCATGACACACCACGAACCCCTTCAGCCAGTAGTGATGCAGCCCGTCGAATCCTGGACTTTTCCAGTTCGGGGCTCTAAAGATTTTGGATTCTGGCTAAACCGCGCCGTCCTCTCGGTATATCTCCGAATCCGCTTCCCCCAAGCAGCGATCCTCTGCTTCAGGTCATCTATGCGCTCCGTTAGTTTTTGCGTAATATCCGGCTGGGACAAGTTGGTGTTGGTCCCAGCGAACGCCATCCTAACGGTGCGCACAATTCTGGGCCTATTATTGCCCGACCTGAAGCTTATCAGCCTGCCGATGATGGCCCTTACCTTTGCGATACGGTCCTCAATTTTTCTTCTCCATGCTGGGATAGTGCTACCTGGTCTGGTAGCACGTCCAGCCTTGGGAAGTTTGACGCCAACGATTCGGCATACTGCCAGTGCAGCGCCAAAGAGAATTGAGTCCGTATCGCAAAGATCCCGGCTAGCTTCCAAATAGGTTGCCAGCATCGGGTTAAGAGACCTCACGACAGACCGACTCCGCTTACTTAGGGGTATGCGGGGGAGACGTGGTCGATACTCGAGAGGCGTTACGCGCACCTCCAGAATTGCCTCCTCCAATATACTTCTCATCTGCTCTATTTCTTGGGCGACTATTCCATCATCGCACGAATCTACAGGAGCCGGGGGGTAAAACGCGGCCTCCGCTTCCGCTTGTAGCCCTGCGAGATCCGAAGGTTGCGGGGTCGCATTTCCGGCTACTGCATTCTCATCCGATGAGGGAACAGCCTCACGTCGAAGTCGTTCGAGCTCGCCATCATCAAATATTTTTGAGTGCATGATGTACCGAACTCTGTCTGCTAGGTTTTGCTCCGTGACGGTTAAAGATGGCTCCAGCTCAGCAAAAAAGCGATGCATCCTTGCCCGATACGCAAACCCTCCAGTTTCACTCCCTTTTGCCCTAAAATACGCCCGCATTGCGTTCTGATTCATTTCAGACGTCCAGCGTAAGCGGCGTATACCAATAATAATAATATTTATTCTAATTGCGTTAATATATTATTAACGCTATTATTACTCTTAGTCATGAAAACATTGAACTGAGAACACTTCGTCTACAACAGATAAGTTAATATCGTAGTTTATTGTATGCCAGCGCGATTCTGGTAGGTACATGAATGTTCATTATTAGCATACAGCTTGAAACTTTTTCAACTATCCCCCCTAAATAAGATGTTTCTCATTTACCACTACTCTCCATACGATGAATGAATATGGTTATTTCTTAAAATATTCAACTCCTCGACATAGATACACGATTCCTAGGATCGCGCAATTATGGTGCTTGTCAGGTTTTTATACTTTTCATAACACAATGTTAGCATACAATGCACTAACCAGATCTTACCACATGTTCCTTAAAAGTAACAGAAGAAACAGGAAAACTGGTGGCTATGTTTTTTTTTTATCTTAGTGAAGTTTTTCTAGTGAAAGGTTTAATTAAAGACTTTGTTATAAATAATATGAATAAATTACTTTAAATATTTAGCAAGCAATTGCATGAGCAGCCCTTAAATGTTTTCTTTAAAAGAAAGAGTGTTTTCCCATGGATCTGAGGACTTGGATATCTCTAAAAAAGAAGAGTAAGGAAGAGATACCGCAAACGTATGCCAAAAAGTAGTAAAGTTGATAAAATCTTACTTATAATCCGCAATGAGCCAAACATGACTTATAACAATCTTTATATTTTATCCTTTGAAAAGTACAATAAAGTAAATTTTGATATTGTGATCGAATATTTTACCACAATCAAGGCACTTAAGCACGTTTACAATACTTGTATTTGTTGTTTTATTTTAGAGTATTTAATAGGAAATCATCTCGGAATCTCGGATGCCAACCCATACTAAAGTCGCCACTGTGCGCGATAAAGGATATCATCTTAGACTTAACACTGCAAAGTGTGATTTGTAAATAAAATCAATGACACAATAATTGAATATATTGTTACAGCTATTTGTTACAAAGGGTGCCTATTTACCTGCTTTAT